AGAGAGTCAGTCTGAAAAGCCTCACGACAAATAGTATGATATCGTTGGAAAAAGTAATAAATCAATAATTAGGTAATAAAAATTTTAAGCTTTTAGCTTATCGGCTTTTGATGGTGCGGTTTATTACCCCAAACAAATATTTGGTACCTTTTCGCTGACTCCCAACCACGTACCATAGCCCAGAGCTGGGATCTCATCACCATTGCTTAGTTTGAAATTCGATACATTCACCTGAAATAAAATTTATTTTTAATTATTCCTTACTACTGGTGGTAGGACCTCTTATGAGTCCGCACGGGTAGGTGCCACTACCCCGCCCGTTTTTACCGTGAAGCAGTAATGCGTTTCGGTTTGAAGGGCGGGGCAGCCGTTGTAACTATACTAAGTCCTTAGAACTTATATCTCAAGGTGGGTGGCGCATTTACGTTGTACATGTCTATGGGATCCAGTAACCACTTAACACCAGGTGGGCTGTGATCTCGTCCACCCATCTAAGCAATAAATAAAAAATTAATAAAAGTCGACGCGTGTTACAACAGGACTGAGCAAAACTTCAACATGTGGACGGATCGCGAACGTTGGTATAGATTCCTTTGATAAAACCGACACTAGAGACCAACTACCAAATTTCGCTCCAACGTTGGGACCAATGCTATTTTCTGGAACTACACGTTGGGCGAGTGGCCTTGGGGCCTATGCTGGGGCCAACGTGAGAAGCCGGCGTTACGCTACCCACGTCAAGATACGGCGTGGTTCTAGGCGAACCTTCCATAGACTAGCCATACCTTAATTAGCCTTGGTTTTTTTTATTTTTTTTTTATTGCTTATTTGTGTGGACGGGCTCACAGCCCACCTGCTGTTAAGTGGTTACTGGAGCCCATAGACATCTACAACGTAAGTGCGCCACCCATCTTGAGATATAAGTTCTAAGGTCTCAGTATAGTTACAACGGCTACCCCACCCTTCAAACCGAAACGCATTACTGCTTTACGGCAGAAATAGGCAGGGCGGTGGTACCTACCCGTGCGGACTCACAAGAGGTCCTACCACCAGTGATTACGCAAATTAAAATTTTGCGGGTTTGACTTTTATTACACGATGTTATTCCTTCACCGTGGAAGTCAATCGTGAACATTTGTTAGGTACGTATTTCATTAGAAAAATTGGTACCCGCCTGCGGGATTCGAACACCGGTGCATCGCAACAACGAATGCACCGGACGTCTTATCCTTTAGGCCACGACGACTTTTTGGTCTGAGTACTCGGGTATTACTGTCCTTGTTGTCTTTCTTTTGTTTGTAATTTTTTATTATTATTAATAGTATTATTAAATCTCTATTAATATATTAATGTAATGCATACTGTGATTGCCTCTAATTAGAGTTGCAGTTATCAATTGCTCTATACATGTCAATGTTATTTTATGTCTTACTGTAAACCCTGTCGGTAAGCCTTAAATAAATAAATTAAAAAAAAGGTTATCAAATATTACCCAAACATAATTCAAGGGAACCGGTGGTCGTTTCGCTGGCGGCCACCGGTCCGGCGTCCGGGGGACGGTGGGATGGATGTAATGTGCTCTGCGTCAACCCTGTCCCGCCGTTTCAATAGCCCCGACTGGGCTCTGGCCCGGTCCGAGGTAGGGCGCCGGTTGTGAGCGGCAGGAGTTTTTAGTGAGGTTCAACTCCCACATACCCCACCTGCCGCGCGGGTGGGGATCCGGCGATTTTCTCCTGTGGGAAAAAAAAAAAANCGTGGGACGGTGGGATGGATGTAATGTGCTCTGCGTCAACCCTGTCCCGCCGTTTCAATAGCCCCGACTGGGCTCTGGCCCGGTCCGAGGTAGGGCGCCGGTTGTGAGCGGCAGGAGTTTTTAGTGAGGTTCAACTCCCACATACCCCACCTGCCGCGCGGGTGGGGATCCGGCGATTTTCTCCTGTGGGAAAAAAAAAAAAAAAAAAAACATAATTCAAACTGTCCTACCTTATTCATTTTTGTTCTTGAGACGCTCAAACACAACCAAACACTGACACCCGCTTGAACTATCTAAATTATATAAGAATAGATCTATTTGACATCGGATATCAAAGTTAATTGACCTTAAATTGCTCTTACGCAATGACTATCTTTTTTCCGCTTATTATTGTGACATGTCACGTTTTGACATCAATATTTTTAGCGCCGATAACTTTTTTTTTTTGTTTACGGATACCTACGTAATAGATGATCTTGGAATTATATAACGCGTTTTTTTTTTTTTTTTTATTGCTTAGGTGGGTGGACGAGCTCACAGCCCACCTGGTGTTAAGTGGTTACTGGAGCCCATAGACATCCACAATGTAAATGCGCCACCCACCTTGAGATATAAGTTCTAAGGTCTCCGTACGAGGGCTGCACTAAAAGTATCGGGAATGGAATATTTCCACTGTTCCTGTCATATTAAAATCTTTTTAATTGAAAACTCCTTGGTTTTAAAAATCGAATACCATTTATTTATTTAAAAAAAGATTCTCGGTCTTGTCACGAGGTTTTGTCAAACTTGTTTAGTCGTTGAGAAAATGGAATTGACTCGAGAAAATTCAAGAGCGATGATTTATTATGACTTTCGAAGTGGTTTAACACAAAAACAGTGTGTTGACCGGATGATTTCTGCATTTGGTGATGAAGCCCCATCCAAAACCACAATTTATCGCTGGTTTGCTGAGTTTCAACGTGGACGTGTCAAGCTCAGTGATGATCCCCGTCAAGGTCGTCCAAAAACTGCAGTCACCCAAGAAAACGTTGATGCTGTGCGTAAGCTGATTGAGGAAGATCGACATGTGACATACCGCGAAATTCAGGCAACTTTAGACATTGGCATGAGTCAAATACAAATAATCTTGCATGAACAATTAGGTGTAAAAAAGTTGTTTTCCCGATGGATACCGCATTCGCTCTGTGAAGAGCAAAAAGCGGCTCGCGTTACTTGGTGCGTCAGAACTCTCGAAAGATTCCACGCAGGATCCTCAAATGCTGTATACAACATTGTATCAGGTGACGAATCCTGGATATACGCGTACGAACCCGAAACAAAAAACCAGTCACGAGTTTGGGTGTTCGAAAATGAGTTAAAGCCAACAAAAATTGTTCGTTCACGGAGTGTTGCAAAAAAAATGGTGGCCACGTTTGTCTCCAAAACCGGCCATGTTACGACTATTCCTCTTGAGGGACAAAGAACGGTTAATGCAGAATGGTATGCTAGCATTTGTTTGCCACAGGTCGTTTCTGAACTCCGTAAAGAGAACTGCAACCGCCGCATCATCCTCCATCACGACAATGCGAGTTCTCACACCGCGCACAGAACAAAAGAGTTTTTAGAGCAAGAAAACATAGAATTATTAGACCATCCGCCGTACAGCCCCGACCTAAGCCCTAATGATTTCTATACTTTCCCTAAAATAAAGAATAAATTACGTGGACAGAGATTTTCATCACCTGAAGAAGCTGTGGACGCCTACAAAACGGCCATTTTTGAGACCCCAATTTCCGAATGGAATGGTTGCTTCAATGATTGGTTCCATCGTATGGAAAAATGTGTCAAATTTCGCGGAGAATACTTCGAAAAGCAATAAATACATTTTTAAATAGTAATGTTGTGTCACTTCGTTAATTCCCGAAATATTCAGTGCCGCCTAGGTATAGTTACAACGGCTACCCCACCCTTCAGACCGAAACGCATTACTGCTTCACGGCAGAAATCGGCGATTATATGACAGATATCACAGAAATAAAAATATATAGACGCTATTTTCAATACAATTCAACTCAATACATCCGTAATTTTGTAAACGGGAAATACCTATTTCGATTTATCTTTGAGACTTCGGCCTCATGTATCAGATTGAGTGACGTGTTTCGTTTTGTGAGGTCTATTTGCTGTGAGATCGTCCACTTTTTTTGGTATTAATGCGCGATACTATAACTCTTTAATCGTGGCTGCCGGTAGCTACATACCCGATCCGGGGGATCGAACGGTAAACAGTCGCTGTCGCCCCAAACACGGCATTTCAGATCCTCCCGATCCACTAACGGTGCTTTTAGGTACCTCAAGCACCGGTCATCGTTCTCGTCGAACCCGTCGAGCGCGACGAAGGGTTCGGCTAGTAAATTAACCCACAGACACAGCCCACTGAGTTTGTGAGAAGCAGCGCGCACAGCTAGTCACCCACTTCGATAAAGCGGCACGACACGAGAACCCTCTCATGGTGGCCGCCGGTAACTACATTCCCGATCCTGCGGACAGAATGGAAAGCAGTCGACGTCACCCAAAACACGTCATCTCGGATCCTCCCGATCCACTAACGGTGCTTCTAGGTACTTCAAGCACCGGTCACCGTTCTCGTCGAACCCGTCGCTTGCGACGAAGGGCTCGACGAGTAAATTAACTCTCAGACACAGCCCACCGAGTTTCTCGCCGGATCTTCTCAGTGGGTCGCGTTTTCGATCCGGTGGTAGATTCTGCGAAACACTGCTCTTGCTAGGGTTCGTGTTAGCATCGTCGTCAGGTTTGAGCCCCGTGAGCTCACCTACTAGCCACAGTTACGCTGAAATAGCCTCTAAGACTATCAGCTTAGGTAGGGAAAAAAAAAGCTTGGCAGTTATAAAAAGGACACCTCTTCTTTAGCCTTCGAGTGAATAAAGAGACTTTTTATTTATTTATTTATTTATTTAAAACATCAACACGGTTACAGTTTCGATACAGCATCGGTGTGAAAAAGCGAGCACCCTTGGTTGACTCAGACCGTATCACAGAACTCTTTAAGGCGGTGTTTCCCAAAGTGGGGCCCCATAAGGGGGCAATTTGATAATTAAGGGGGGCAATCGCACTAAATTAATATAGAAAATCTGTATTAAAATTATTTTGAAATTTGAATTTCAGTTTTTTATTATATTTTTTGATAACAATTTCCTAGTGATTTCTAAAGCATTTATGTTTCTTAAGTGAAAAAATCAATTTTTTGATGTTAAAAATTCTGTATAGGGGACATATACAAATTTTAGAAGTGTTACAGTGGGGGCATGGCACAAAAAAGGTTGAGAAACACTGCTCTAAGCCATCCTTGATTGACTGATAGAGAATGCTTTAGGCATTAAATCTGTGCAGTACCTTAAGCGTGTAAAGTTAAACAATAATAAAATGCTGCACGAATTATAACAAGTGACCGAATTATTCGATGTCGCCGTTGACTCCATTCTTCCACTTGAGCAAAGAGATCGGTATGTCTTCGTGCTCCTGTCCAGGGACCACATCGAAGGGGTAGTTCTCGTAGGGCTGCCAGAACAGCGGCCTGATCGTCCGGAAGCCGTTGTCAAACTGCGCCAGGGTGGCGACGTCCTCGTCGTCCAGCTGGAAGTCGAAGATCGAGGCGTTCTCCAGCACTCTGCTCTTAGTCACAGTCTTCGGTATAGACACGATCCCGCGCTGGTACTGGAATTACAATATACGTCATTCATTTATCTATGCTAATCTATACTTATCTATATTTATTTATACTAATTTATACTAATCTATACTAATATACACTAATCTATACTAATCTATAGCCTAGTCTTCGGTATAGACACGATCCCGCGCTGGTACTGGAATATATAGCTCTTGTTGCATTAATATGATAATTGTGTAATGTACCACCTTTTATACTGATGGCTGATTCACGGCAGTAATAGGCGGGGTGATGGTACAAATCAAATCAAATCAAATAAATAAAATAAAAAATTCAACATAAATGAAAGTACACACTTGTTGAACGTCAAAAAGAACTACCGCCAATTCACAAAAACTAGCCTCCGTCCTGAGAAGAACTGGCAAGAAAATCAGCGGGCATGTCTTTTTTTTTTTGAAATATTAGATTTTTTTGAAATATGCATTTTTACCAGAGGTATTTTATAACGTAACAATTATTGTAATATTGAAATGCCCGGAGCGAGTACCTACCTACCCGTTTGGGCTCACAAGGCCTCCTACCATGAGTACAAATGGCTGTTGCGAAAGAACTCTTTATGATCTGGAAAGGAAATATGAAAGACGGGTCTGGTAGAGTTTGGTGGTTCTTCTTGGCTAAGGTTCAAACTGGGTCACCTTGGTCATTGAGTGAGGATCTAAAAGCCGGGAGTATAACGCTTTAATCCTTTCAAGTCTACCCAATTTCAAAAGACCGTTTTCCTATTCACCTTGCAGTTAGCTGGAAGTAGTTCCTGAGCGCCAAGACAAGTCCTCTTTATTGCCCTTGTAGGCAGACGAGCGTACGGCCCACCTGATGGTGAGTGGTTACCGTCGCCCATGGACTTCAGCAATGCCAGGGGCAGAGCCAAGCCGCTGTCTACCGTTTAATACTCTCCACAAGCCTCGTTTAAAGAAGGACATGGCATAGCGTTCGGGAAACACCATGGAGGGGAGCTCATTCCATAGTCGGATGGTACGTGGCAAAAAATACCTCTGGAAACGCACTGTCGTTGAACGCAGCGGTTCCAGATAATATGGATGAACTCTGCTCCGATGGCGGGAGGTGCGAAGGATAGCCAGCGATTGGCTGTGGCTCTGATGTTGTCCGCGTGCAACGATCACACACTGCCAGCTAGAAGGTAGAAATTACTCACCAAATATCTTAAGGCGATCTGAGTGACGGTCTTCCCGTGTTTCTTGGCTATCGAGAGCATCGTGGGATTGTCCATCTTAGGCTCCGGACTGTCCGGGTAGTTTCTGGACGGCACCATCGTTCCGAATGGCGAGTACGCGACCACCACCACGCCCTTGGACTGACAGTAGTCCACCAATTCCTTCTGACCGAGATTTAGGTTGATCTGTAAATGCCAAACGGTCAGATCTAGTAAGAGAAGCACTTGGTGGTAGTCTGTACCGGGCGGTCCATACCACCCATGATCGAGCACAGTGGAAGAACGTCACATGTGGTCGCGGTCTTCAGCAGTGAGGGAACGATATAGAAGAAGAGTAAAAGCTGCACTAACGTCAGACGGTCGGTTTCTTGATTTGTGTGGTCCATGGACTGGTGGAAGCCGTGCTCTGAGACACACGTATGAAACAAGAAACCGATATGAAAGCGGTGTTTGTTTCGCCGTTCCTTATGAGGAGAACCTTAAGACGGCGGGGCAGACGTGGATGGGAATGGCTAGCGATCGAACATTATGGCATAAAAAGTGATTACCGGAGCCTATAGAAATCTACAATGTAAATGCCGCCTTGAGATGAGTTCTAAGGTCCCAGTATAATTACAACGGCTGCTCCGCCCTTCAAACCTTAACGCATTACTGCTTCACGGCCTAAATAGGCAGAGTACCTACTCGTGTGGACTCAAAAGACGTCCTACCACCAATTATAATTGTGGGTTTAATTCGCCATACGCCCAGCAGTGGACATCAAAGGGCTGTAGATAACCATAACAAAGTTTACGTCGTGTGACCGTTCCGTGGTTACCTCGATCTGGTTGACGGCGGGTGGCACATTGCAGTTGGCTAGTAACCTCTTCATCTGTTCGATGTTGAAGTTGGACACGCCGATGGACCTGGTCAGTCCCTTCTTGAGGACCTCCTCAAACCCTCTCCACGTCTCCAGGTGGTCGATCTTTTCGTCTATCCCTTCTTGCTGTAATATCAAACGGAATTGAAACTTTTTATTTAAGTTGCGAACTTTTCATCGTTAACTTTCAACTACCCTACTTTGAGAAGTTACGATTTTTTGAAGTGAAAACTTCTTTAGAATCGTTGTGATTTCAAACCGGATGCAACGGAAAAAACGACAGGTAAGAGACACAAATACAAAAATGTGTAGGATGAAGCCAGCAAAGAGTGAGACAGAAATATACATACTATTTAATACAGCGCCATCTGTGAGATTTTTTAATACTAACGTGTATATGAAAGCTCTTGTAGTGAATTTTAATTTAGGATTATACGTGAAATTAAAATATCAATTCACAAATCAATTCACCTTACAATTATTAACTAATGCAAAATTTTACATATACTTAAGACGTTTAGGATAATTGTATTTTAATTTTGGAAGGTTTCACTTCTACCACGTGTGAATTGCACACATTTTGTTTTTTTTTATAGTACATTGTGCACCGCGGGAGAAAAGTTGGACATATCCTCCAGCGTATTTGCAACTTTGCACATACAATTTTTTCACCTACCAGGCCGAAAGTTCGTGGAGTACCGAGCCGGGGTCTAGGGGCGAAGCCTTGGCCGGGGCAAGGGGGGCGGAGACCCCCGTACTCATAAAAACAATTTAACCGTTTTTTAATTTTTAAATAAACTACTACTAATTGAATAAGAACTGTCTGATGAACTCATCTTTGTTTAGTACTTCACTATTAAATCTTATTGCCTTTTGTTTATTTCGCTTTTACACTAAACACAATATTGCAAATTACCCGAACACAACAATGGCGGAGAATTTTATGTGCGTGAGAGCAGACGTAGACACTAACGCGTATGCGCACTTGTCAGTACCCAGGGAGAAAAATTTACACTTTCTTCCCTGTACTGCGGGAGGAAAATCGAGCTTTCGGCGTCGGTAGGAGAAAAAGGGATTTTTTGACCTGTTAATATATAGGATGAAATATAATCTCAGTAAAATGGTGATTATGTGCAAAAGCAATAATATGATACGTGAATTTTCAATGCAAAAGTTCAGAATGGGTCATTTGACCCGTTATGGTAGGTTTAGTGTTAAGAATTAACTAAAGTTTGACAATAAACAAAGAGTATATATACATAATATAGGTGTGTGTGTCAAATGCATGGCAGTGTGTGTAATTTTTTATTTATTGATTTAATGTATCTTTTAAGTTTTATTTTGAAAAAAATATTAACATTGTGCACTCCTTCTCTATATTCTCTTTAAGTGTGGAAAATTTCATACACCTCCGTCCGCGCGATTTTCGTAAAAAGGGATACAAAGTTTTTGCTTCACGTATTAATATATAGATATATACAAATTATGAGAATCACAAATTAACTTTAGGTAAGCATCGACAAACTCACCGAGATCGACATTGGCCAGTGCACCAATACCAAGTCCACGTAATCCAGATTCAGTCTTCTGAGGGAGTCGCGCACCGCCACCTCGACGTCCGCTTGCTTGTGGTGGTGGTGCCACACCTATTCACAGGAATGTCTATTCAATTGGGATTCCCGAAGGACAAGACGAAACATGTTGCCACGCAATGTATGACAGATTAAGCGGCACACGCACGCGGTCATTGACCTAGGTTCTACAGTATGCGCGCGAGTTCATGTCCATCGGGGCCAGAGGCGACGCGCGGGGGATAGCTCGCCCCGCCTTCGCCCACCTCCACGCATGACACGTCGAGTGTTGTCCGTGACGGTTGTGACGCGCGCTTATCGATATCGAAAATTTACGCAAACGCTATTGTGTTAATTAATCATGACTACTCCGCTTCCAACAAGTTCAGGTAGAAAAAAACCTACTGAAAAAAGATACATACTGATTCCGACTCTGATCTGTCGGTTGTCTTTTCATTTGATAGTGACTGAATTGGAATTTAAAAAATATTTTTCTCTATTATAAATAAATAAGTAATAACTTATTACATTTATTTTATTTCGTAATTTGCAAAATTACCTTAAGTTACATTAAACCAAATAGACAGCTGTTAAATAAATCGGTAGTTGTTATCGACATTACCATAATTAACTAGGTCACAGCACTACCGCATTCCTCAGGATGGACATGAACTCGCGCGCCTACTGTACATACATACGGTAGAATGTAACAAGTCTGAAGTTCAGTGAAATTTTGCGACTCCTTACATCATAGTTAGTCTGACCGGGATATGAGGTTCAATAAGACAAACTAACTTTGTCACCGCAGACCTCATGTCTTAAATGTTGGTGGCCGGAGTGACGTTGCGAAATCTATGGGTTGCTATAGCTATCCAGCACCATGTGATTCCAGGGTTCGTTCTATGCTATACAAGATATGCTTGCAGAACTGTGACCTCATTTGAGACACACAATTGTATTTTTACAGTACGACTGCCCCGTGCTTCAAACCGCGGCGCATTGCCTCACGGCAGAAATCGGCAGGGCCTACCCGTGCGGACTCACAAGACATCCTACAGCCATTAATAGGAAGAATGTAAAGAATATTACGTTAGATAAAAAAAAATGTGGCACAGGGTACAACAGACCTTTGTAGTAACAAAAATGTCTTCTCTTTTAACGACACCGTCCTTAATTTTTTTATTTATAACTTCCCCGACCTCCGGCTCGACCCGGTAGAGATGCGCCGTGTCGATATGTCGATAACCTATATCGATGGCGTACGATAATGCGTCCTGTAGTTTACGCGCGTCCGTGATTTCGAATTCCATCTGAAAACCAGAGATTAGTTCTTGAAACGAGAGGAAAAAAACGACCTCAAAGTCTCTAGATCATGAGGAGAATAGTCTCAAATCGATTACACATAAGCATGCTGCTATTCACCATGAGATCCTAGATCGATTTTTTTTGTTGAGCAATGTTTTTTTTGCCCTTGTAAGTAGACGAGCATACGTCCCACCTAATGGTGAGTGGTTACCGTCGCCCATGGACTTCAGCAATGCCAGGCAGAGCCAAACCGCTGCCTACCGTTTATTACTCTCCACAAGCCTCGTTTGAAGAAGGACATGTCATAGCGCTCGGGAAACATCGTGGAGGGAAGCTCATTCCAAAGCCGGATGGTACGTGGCAAAAAAGATCTCTGGAAACGCACTGTGGATGAACGCAGTGGCTCCAGGTTGTATGGATGCACTCTGCTTCGTCGGCGGGCGATGCGAATTGCGATGGTAAAAACTAGATGAGCAATATCCCCTACCACCAGTCAATGCCAATCATCAATCGCAGTACCCTGGTAAAACACTCAGAGAACGTCCTTTCAAATTCGGGAGAATTCTTCAGTCGACTTCGTCCCTCCATATACCCAAACTATCACGTGAATAGAAGACGCACTCCACTTCTTCGATAAAACACATTTGTATTTACTAGTGGTCGCCCGGTAGTCGAAATTCGACATAATTATTTGAAACTAGCTGACCCGGCAGACTTCGTAGTGCCTCAATCGATAAATAAAAGACCTAAACTTTTGTATAAAATAAACTTAAAACAAACAAAAGGAATCGGTCCGACGGGGGACACATCAAAGGAAAAACAAAATTGTTATTTTTATTTAATTCCGAACATTTTCATATTTATATACCTTTTAAACCTTTTCAAGACTTCCACAAACAATTTAAGACCAAAATTAGCCAAATCGATCCAGCCGTTTTCGAGTTTTAGCGAGATTAACGAACAGCAATTCATTTTTATATATAGAAATTATAAGTTTGTACACTATTATGATTCTATTTTCAAAGACTATTATACTTCGATAATCACAAATTTCGCCAAGACTACCCTATAGAAAAATATTATTAACAAAGACAAACAATATTTAATCTATTCTCAATTTGACCATAGACTTTATGCAATAAAAAAAGTTTGACAATAAACAAATAGTATGCATGCGCGTGTGTGTGTCAAATACATGGTAGTGTGTGTAATGTTTTCTTTATTGATTTAATGTATCTTTCATGCATTGTTTTAAAAAAAATATTAGAATTGTGCACTTCTTCTCTATATCTTATACCTTTAAACGAGCAATTCTTGTATATTAATTGTTAATAAGGTAAAGTTCGATGAGCAAACTTATCTATGATTAGTCTGCGAACTGATATATGTCAGAATATAATGTTAATTTGAAAATTATAAAATACTATTGAACTACTAAATTGTTTCTAATTATGCACGTCCTAACAGGTTATGGGCCCAGGACGCTTGCAGAAAGTGAAATAGAAATGATTTAACGATTAATTGTTTTAATAGGCGTAATCCGTTGTGTCAATTATTTCCTGATTTTTTGAAGTTGAAGAAACTACGAAAATGACTTCTAATATTAAGATTGATCGACTTACGGGTGATAACTATGACACCTGGAAGATTCACATGCGAGCTATTCTGAAGAAGAATGATTTGTGGGAATATGTATCAGGAAAAATACCTAAACCAATACATTCAGATTCTAAATATTCTGAATGGAATAAAATGGACGGAAAAGCCGAATCGGACATATTGTTAGCTGTCAGCCCGAGCGAGTTAATTGCACTGGATGGTTTAGACTCCTCTAAAGCAATATGGGACAAGTTGAAATCTATGTATGAGTCAAGCGGGCCAGCGCGAAAAGCGTCATTACTAAAGAGACTTGTATTAAACCGTATGCCAGAAGATGGAGAC